AGACCTGGATGAACCTCCTGGCTCCTGACTTCACCCTGGCCCAGCCCCAGCCATTGTGGCATTTGGGGAGTGAACCAGTAGATGGAAAATACCTCTCTCTGTCTCTGTACTTGCTTCTTCTTTCTCTGTAACTCTGCCTTTCAAATAAATAAATAAAAATTGTAAAAAACCAAACCAAAACAAAAAACGTAAAACATCCATAGCATTGTGATGGGCACCACAGGAGAAACTGTATAAACTGAAGAAGTGTAATGCAGACAAAACTGCATATTTGAATGCAACAGTGGTCATGGACCAGAAGTTATATGCAAAGTGCTGAGCTAGGCACATGGGGAAACTCAAATGTGAATGTAACAGAGCCTCCATTCCAGTGGAAATGGAATTTGGGCAGATATGTAATTAAGTGATTGTTTACTTTGGGGATGTGGTGATGGAACTTCAGAGGAAGTTCTATGAGAGCCCAGTGGAGGGAGCCCTTCAGGCTGCTGAAGGAGGATTACAGTTAGTGGGAGGCTCTCTGAACAAATGGCCTTGAAGACCCTTGCCTGTGAAGGTTCTAATCTGGGAGGAAAGATGTAAACAGGACACCAAGAACAATGCAAGATCCTATCTCACACAGTACCAGATTCTGCCAGACGGACAATGATTGCCCTGGAATGCTAAGATGGGAATGATCTGTGCGACTCAAACAGTAGTTTGGATTCTGGCTCCAGAGGAAAACTGACAAAAAAGCCCAGAGGACCACAAAATTTAAATCTGTGGGAAAAAAGGAGGTTCATTTATTGAGCACCTACTAAGTCACGTAGCACACTAATTTAAACCTTATGAAAACTCAATGGTAAGGTCACTGAAACTCAGAATAATTAAGCAAGTTGCCGAAGGTCACAAGAACCCAGGTCACGATGACTTGGAAATGTGTACTTCAAACCATCTTCTCCCATTCAATTCTTTAGGACTCTATTTTGATGTTACTCTACTACATTCCTGTAGACCTTATACACTGGCAAAACACTTAGCTTTTAGTTATTACCAAAGAAAATGAATGTTGAAATAGTATATTCCAGGGGCCGGTGCTGTGGCTCAGCGGGTTAACACCCTGGCCTGTAGCGCCAGCATCCCATATAGGCACCGGTTCGAGACCCAGCTGCTCCACTTCTGATCCAGCTCTCTGCTATGGCCTGGGAAAACAGTGGAGGACGGCCCAAGTCTTTGGGCCCCTGCACCAGTGTGGGAGACCCGGAGGAAGCTCCTGGCTCCTGGCTTTGGATCAGCGCAGCTCCAGCCGTTGTGGTCAATTGGAGAGTGAATCATTGGATGAAAGACCTCTCTCTCTCTCTCTCTCTCTGCCTCTTATCTCTCTGTGTAACTCTGACTTTCAAATAATAAATAAATCTTAAAAAAAAAAAAAAGAAATAGTATATACCAGAGAGATGAGAGAGAGTAAAAGTAGTTTTGAGGATGACAATGTTCAGAAACTTAAGAGGAGTAGGAGTGGGTAGGATGGAACCAGTCAAACACAGGGTGATCATATAGAAGATGCCGTCATACTCTGATAATTGGGACTCCATTCAATTTCAGATTTGGAAGTTCTTAGGTTTCTTGGACTCGTGTCCTTTCATTTTACATAAGCTAAGTGAGATTCAAAGATCCCACACAGCTCAGAATTAAACCTCCAGTCAACTGACTCTCAGCTGATTGCTCCTCGACTACAGATGATGAAAAGAAAGGGAGGGGCACACATTTAACCTTACAGTTCAGAACTCATTGTGATACCTGTATCCCACATCAGAGTTCTTAGGTTTGATGCCTAGCTCCATTTGAGGCAGTCCCAGCCCCCCTATTATGGACATTTGGAGGATGAGCCAGCGGCATCTCTCTCTCTCATAAACAAATAAATAAGACTTTAAAAGATAAACAATTCATGAAAGATTACATGATAGAGTACAAAGAGCAGCATCTGCTGTATCACTATGTTATATATAAATAAGATCAAGCATGAATGATTAGGATGGGTGAGCCAATGGTTACAATTCATTTAATCTTACACGCAATTAAATACAAGAAAATACACACATACATGCACAAGGAATTTGTGCTTCTAAGACACAGGGGACAGAGTAGTAAATGTATGATCAATGAACAGGTGAGAAAAAGGTGTTGCCGAATGCCTCCAATGCATCGAAGAATGGAAGTCAAGGTGCTCAAAGATCCTTTGGCTTTTCCTTTCCCTGCCTGACACAGGAAAGAAATAACTGCCTCCTCAATGTTCTTTTTCTGTAACAAACCTAAGGAGCATTTTGTTCTTGACAGCAACAGTAGAATAAATGGTATTTATATGGCATTATTTACAAGTAGGATGCCCCAGAGCATATTTTATCCTGAAAATAAATTTGTGAAATAGATAATCCCATTTTAAAGGGAAGGATGTGGAAGGGAGAGTAGAGAAGTGACTCACTCATGGTCAAAGTTCTGGTATGTGTTGGAGGGGTGACTAGAACTAAAAGTCTCCTGTTTTGATTCCCAGTAGTGAAGCTGATAAAATCCCAAACATCTAGAAACATCGAAAACTATTATAGAGGTGGCCATTTGGTGCAGAAGTAAAGGCACTGATTGGGAGTCCATATCGGAGTGCCTGGGTTCAAGTCCCAACTCTGCTCCTGATTCCAGCCTCCTGCTGATGTGTGCCCTGGGAAGCAGCAGGTGACAGCTTAAGTAGTTAGTTCACTCCCATCCATGTGGGAAACCCAGATTGAGATCCCTGCTCCTGGGTTAAGACTCAGCTGTTTTGAGCATTTAGGAAGTAAACCAGAAGATGGGATATCTGGGTCTCTCTCTCCCCCTCTCTCTTTCTCACTCTCTCCTTTCCAAATAAAGTATTTAAAAACTATTTCATGCAAACACTTAAAAGTTCCCCAAAAGACAGACAATTTCCAAGTGCCTAATCGTCACAATTGAAGTGAATCAGTAGTCATATACCAAGTTTCATTGAGGGAAAGGAGGGGAGAATCTTGAATGATATCATTTAAGTGGTTCAGCATAGCTCTCTCTTTATTGAATGGAAACCTGCAGACTTTTATAGGCAACTTGGATTTGCAGACAGTGAAAGATTTCCTGAGGCAAATTCCTCATCCGTGGCATTGTGCATCCAAGATCCTCCTCTTTCCAGTCAGTCTCTGAAAACAGATTGAAGATACAGTGAAATTTTCATTTTATAACAGGACAAACTGAGTTCAAATATTCTTGGCCAGAGACCATATAGGAAGTCCTTCCCAGACCAGGAAGATCTGAATCTGGGATCTCCCATTTCCAGTAGGACCCTACAATCTGGACAAACCACTGTCAGACTTTTACAGATTTGCTCATCCTACAGATCTTCACATGCACTTTCACTGGCCCACATTCTCCACTGAAAAACTCCCTCTCCCTGAAGCATGTAGCAATGATCCCAGCTCTCAAGGATCTGGAGCAGCCTTGAGGAACGGAGCACATGGGAAAGAAAGTTGCAAATGAAGGAAGGCAGTTTCAGCTCAGACATCCAGTTCATTATCCACATGTAAACCTCACACAGTACATTTTTATCACTACATTATTTGAACTAATAATTTGTAATCCACCGCTGCTAATGCATTTTGACTTATTAAATACTTGGGAGGGGAAAAAGAATAAGAACTGTTTTGCCATAAGGGGGAGCCTTTGAGTTCTATAAAGAGGGGGAAAAGGGAGAAAAAAATATATTACATACATGTCCCTGTTCAAAACAAATCTACAAAGCAGCAGTGGTCAGATCCTTACCTGTGAGTTGAACAATGTCAGAGGACCTCAATTTCTTAGACTGAAAAAAGTAGGAGGCTTAAGCTTTTTCTCTCATGATTTATTAAAATAATTTCTTGCACCCCATAGAACATTTTGAAGCACATTCGGGGAAATCCAGAGACCCAGTTTTGCTAGGTCTACAGCCCTGAAAGACACATGCCTTGGAAAATGCCTTGTCTCTGTTTCCTTCTGCTGATTCCATGTCGGCTTTGCAAACAGCATTTGGGTTAGCTGAAGCCCGGAGCACGGGGGCTCAGGGAAGAGGAGCCCACATCATGGCACAACTTTAAGGGAATTCTAAGCAGGAGAAAGGGAGAAGGGACAGAGAAGCTAAAGGAGAAGAGAAAGGAGGAGGGGAAGAAGAAGAAAGAGGGAGAGAGAGGGAGAAGGAGGAAGAGGAGAGAGTGAGGAGAAAGAAAGGAGGGAGGGAGGGAAGAAGAGAAAGAGGGGAAGAGAGAGAGAGAGGGAGAGAAACATTTTTAAAAATCTGAGAATCAAGTTTCAGGACTTTATGTGCTACAGGAGAGGATGAGACTTACCATCAACGTTCAAAGGGGACACTGAAAGAAGAGAGATTTTTCTCCCGTCAGGAGGAAAATAAATATATATAAGGAGGTGTGTGTTTGCGTGAGGTGAAGTAAGGGAGAAAAAAAAGCAAGCAAAACAAAACAAAAAAACAGGAATGTGTGTTTTGAGCAGAAATGAGGAGAGCTGGGAGGACCGTAAGGGGGTGTGTACAGAATTTCATTAAATTGTTACTTTAAGATTGTCTTCTTAAAAAAAAAAAAAAAGGAGGGGGTGGAGAGGCGGGAGCGCGGGCAAGGAGGCAAGCGGCAAAGTGGAGGAAGGCTGGGCAGCTCGGCCTCTCCAAACTGATTGATTAGTCATGATCCGCGCAGTTTTAACAGGGACTCATTCAATTGGGAAGGTGGAGCGCTCGGGAGCAGATTAGCATACGCTTGTTTACTCATCTTCTGAGGGATTTTTCCCCCCTCTTTCCTTTCATTTTGTGAAGAAGGAGGGAGGGGAGGGGGACTAGGGGGGGAGAAGGGGGCTGTGGCTTGTGTTATAAAGGACGCAAAAAATAAATAAATTAGAGCATCTTTTTGGGGGGCGGGAATTCAGCGGATCAGTGTCTTAGAGGAGCTTTTTTTTTAAGAGCGAGAAATCATATAAAATAAAATGAAATAAAACAAGGAGGAAGGCAACCAGCTGTTGGAAGGGGGAAACAAGGCAGATAAAGGAGCGGGGAGGGAAATTAATCGCCAACCAGGAGGAGTTGGACTGTATTTTCCAAAGGTGGGGGCAGTGAGGCAAACACCTTGAGGAGGAAAGCGAGAAAGAACAGAAAAAAGCAAGTGGAAGGGGGGGCTCGCCCAAGAAGGGTGAAGAAGCGAAGAAAGTCGAGGCGCCGAGGCTCCCAAAGCTGGCAGCTCCGGGCGGCGGTGCAGGGGCGAAGGGGGGGCGGGGGGGGACCGTCGGACATGCGGCTCTGGAGTTGGGTGCTGCGCCTGGGGCTGCTGAGCGCCGCGCTGGGCTGCGGGCTGGCCGAGCGCCCCCGCCGGGCCCGGAGAGACCCGCGGGCCGGCCGCCCCCCGCGCCCCGCCGCCGGCCCGGCCACCTGCGCCACCCGGGCGGCCCGCGGCCGCCGCGCCTCGCCGCCGCCGCCGCCGCCGCCGCCGCCGGGCGGTGCCTGGGAAGCCGTGCGCGTCCCCCGGCGGCGGCAGCAGCGGGAGGCGAGGGGCGCCGCCGAGGAGCCGAGCCCGCCGAGCCGGGCGCTCTATTTCAGCGGGCGAGGCGAGCAGCTGCGCCTGCGGGCCGACCTCGAGCTGCCCCGGGACGCGTTCACGTTGCAAGTGTGGCTGCGAGCGGAGGGGGGCCAGAGGTCCCCGGCGGTGATCACAGGTAGGCGAGGGCGTCCCGGGCGCGCGGGTGCCTGAGTGCGGGTGGCGGGCGGGCCGGGGGGTTGCGGGTGTGTCTGCGCCGGAGCTGCCCCGTGCGCGACACGGAGACACCCGGGACGGGCAGCGGACCTTACTTTGTCCCATCTGCGGAATGGGCGCACTTGGAAGGTGTGGCTGCCTGGCCTCCCGGGGGGAGCGTGGGGCGCGCTCCTGGTGGCCCGGAGACCCTCAGCCAGTGACGGCTGGTCCCCGGGGAGCCGCGTGCGCGCAGCGGTGCCCCTGCGGAGGGAGGACTTACGGTCTCCCTTTGGGAGGGAGGGGAGGATGACCTGACATGGATGCATGTGTAAGGAGCCTAGGGGACCGCAGACTTCCTTGAGTTTTCAGTGGGGGTGACCCCTCTTTCAGTTTTCCCCGTTACCCTGAAAGCCAGAGAGAACACGGTTGTTGTCATGCCCTGGGCTTAGAAGTACTGGGACTGCCCCAAAGTTGCTCTCGGCTGGAAGCCTGCCTCTGGGATTCACCCCATCCTGTGCTCGCTTTCTGACAAAGCCCCTAGCTTGTCACTCGGAGCCGGAGCGAGACCTCCCTAAAGCAAACCCCGCCTGCATCCCCGAGTTTCAGCTGCGAAACGGGGCGCCCTTCCCGTTTGGGACTTTTATGAGCCCGGGATGAATTTGCGTTCTCCCTGCGCCCCCCACCCCACTCCCCACTTCGCTGTTGCACCGCGAAGCCCGTAGTGAAACCGGACACTGCGCGAGGGTTGCGAGCCCTAGAAACGCACCCCCACCCTTGCCCCTCCAGCCCCCAAACGCGGCTGTGGAAATGCCTTTGACAAACTTGGGGGCGGAGGGGGCGGCGCTGGCGGGGAGAAGGAAAGTTTTCCTCTGCCGTCTGGGAGATTCCCTCCCTGCACAAACAGCCTTGCCATGCTCTGGTCCGTCTTAAAGTGAGAGTAGGGGTTCCCCCTTGGCTGCAGTCAGGAAACGTGCGAGGCGTTTTGCGATCCCACCCCCTTACACACACGTTCTTCGAAGGGAAAGCTCGCCGCTCTTCAGGCGGTGCCGTTTCGCTCTCTCAATCTCTCTCTCTCTCTCTCTCTCCCTCTCTCCCTCTCTCCCTCTCTCCCTCTCTCCCTCTCTCCCTCTCTCCCTCTCTCTCTTTGCCTGGGACTTTGTAAACGTTGCGCTGCTTGCCCTGTTTACCTGACAGTCACCTTTTGGGACCCAAACTCGCTGCTATACCAATAATATGCCTGCCAAAGCCCCACTTTCTGGCTACCCCAGGAAAGCAGTAGAGCGACTCCCCCCCCTCCCCAAACACACACACACTCACACTCACACGCACACACAGCTGACGTCATTGCGTGCTATTTTTCCTTTTTCCTCGGGAAGGAGGGGGCGAAGGAGCTCATTCACTTTTAGCTCCCAAGCCCTACTCACACGGAGGAGGCTATAATATGGAGCAGAGGAGACGGTATTCGAAATAGTAATGATGGTGGTGATAATTCAGGGCTGTGGTATGTTTACTTCTCTTTCCAAACATGTGAAAAGCACAGTCTGTTGTTTGGAGATGATACGGGGTGGGGGGGGAAATGAGTAGGTCTGGGCTTTCCTAATGTGTACCTGTCGAGCTGGTGATGTAGAGGGTTTCCCCTCCACAGAGGACAGCCCAGGGCTATACAGGTATCATTAATGGAAGAGGTATCGAATGCATCTTTAAAAATATATCTGTGCAACTCCTGGAATTCCACGGGAGACTGCTTTCCAAGTGTCTATAATTCAGACGAGAAGCCTCCTCACATGCGTTTGGCTGAGCACTCACTCTCTCGCACAAAGATTGTTGCCGTAAAATACTGTAATTGGATGGGGGACGTTAGGTTATTATTGCTTGTATAAAATGCCTGGTCCATTTTATGTGTGGAAATAGCATTCCCCTCAAAACGAGAAAGAAAAGAAAAAGAAAAAGGCATTGCTGTCCTGTAGCACCAGAAAGCCAGGAGCTTTTCTCTGGAGGGTTCGGGTGGATTTTTTTCTCTCCCCTAGTTGAGTCGGAGCCAGATTTGGCGGTGTGTAAACACCTGGCCCTGAGCCAGAAAAGACTCATTCCGCAGTATCCTCCACACGGTACAGAGTGTTGGACTAAAAAGAACCTGCTTCTCCTTGAATTAAAAAGCAAACAAACAGAGGTCCTCTGCAGAAGTACTTTTTCAGCTCCCTCCTTCGTGTAAGTTCCGGCTGGGAGACGCAGGACCCAGAGGGCCATCGTCGAGGATCTGGTGCCCAGGCTCACTGTGTCGCTGCGACCTCAGGTGCCCAGTTTGCTGCCTGACCTCTGCTGGCTTTCCCTGGCTTTCCTCCGGCTGGGCGTCGCCACTTTCGGAGGAATCCCTGGTCACCTATCTTGAGAGCAGTCATCGCTCAGCGGGGACTGCACTGCTATTTCAGGCAGAGGGCTGCTGCCTTGCTGTCAGGCCAGGCTGCCTTACATCATTCTTTGCTGCAGGATTCAATTGGGTTTCGTAAAGGTCTAATTTTACGGTGCTGTTAACCGGGTCTGTCGTCTGGCAGAGGCAGGCTTTGCCGCTCCTGGTAGGCGGGCTGTGCTCCCAGATCCGCCCGGAATGCTATTTCTGCCCGGTTCAAACTTCACTGACACCAGTTCAGACAGGCGCTTGGAGAGGCAGGGGGAAGGACCGAAGAAGCCGTTCGCTTCTGAAGCTCAGAAAACATGCCTTGTATTTTTCTGAAAGGCAAGGAGAAAAAATACATTAATAAATATAATAAAAAAAAAAAAGGAAAGGCTTACGCAGGCAAAAACAAAGCCAGAGTTAGAAAGTGCCTGAGTGCAGGATTCTCGGGAGGGCCCACCAACGGTGGATGCTCTGTAGGCTCCAGGGGCTGCTTTGAGAAGGGAGTTACCCCAGCCATTCTCCCCTTGGCCAAATGGGAAGGAAGAGACTCAGAGAGGGCAGGGGTGTGTGCTGGCTGACACAGGACCTCAGCGGCAGGAACTGGGATGCAATTCCTGGCATCCCGCCTTCCAGGCCTTGCCCCTGCACCATGGAGAGAGCTTGTCTCATAAACACCATCACCCCTCACCCCACGCACACCCACCACCCAGGCACAGCCTTCAGCCTTCCAGCTCCACACAGTGGGCTCCCTTTCAAGTCTGTGGAATGGATGGCGGGGGTTCTGACACATCCCTGTGCCTTTGTGGCACACCAGGCAGGATCTAGACCCCTGCCCCTCATCTCCAACCTCCTCCCCCACCCGTGCAGTTTGAAAGAAAGAAAAAGAAAACAATAGACTCAATTTGCTCCATTGAGCAGAGGCCCTGAGCAGCAGTTAATCTTGTTAAAGTTTCTCCTGACCTGTTAGATAAGTGAAACGTGGACCCCACAAGTGCTGCCCTCCTCCCACCCCAGTCCCCACTCCCCTTGCCTTAGTGATTCCTAGACTGTTCGGAAGGGAAAAGGGGTTTACCTGAATCCCGCCCAGCTCCTCCCCTTGCCAGCCTTTTTTTTTTCTTTGTTGTAATTGTGGGGCTGGATTGAGTTTGCTGGTTGCTCCCAGGAGTCCTTTTCTCCCTTCCTTCTTCAATCTCTGCTTTCTACCACCCACTCAACCCCCGACAAAGATTGCCACCTTTTCCCCACTTCAGAGTGGCTGCAACAAGGAAGGCTGGGCTGTAAGGAGTCCTTATATGAACATGGTGCTTGCTAACGTTCACAGTCCCACCTGGGATCTAGAACATGGCTACACAGAACCCAGCTGTAATAGCCCATATCACCTGAGTGTGAGTCCACCTCTTCCTCTACCTACCTGTGCTTCCTTGGAGCTAGCTGACCCCTCTGGGCTTCAGCCTCCTCATCTACAAAGTGATGATGGCACAAGCACCTGTCCTGTAGAGTAGCATGGACATCAAGTAAATGCTTGGAACTGGAACTTGGTGTAGAGCAAGTGCTCAACAAACTTCACCCCATTATGAGACATGATTTTCCAAAGATCACCTTCTTGACCTTCTATTCTGAGGAAACTTAAAGTAGAATAGAAACCTGTTCCCTGGGTGCCTCCAAGAGGTCCATAATGGTGCCAGGTACTTGCCTCTGTGTGCATTTTGCCTTCATAACAATGCTGGGAGGTGGGCCTCCTCGTGCATACTTGATAAAATAAGAAATGGAGTCTTCTATGGGGTTTAATGACCTGACCCAAATTCCCACAGGTCCTCAAGTGGACAGAACCCAGATGTGAACTCAAGTCCCAAGTGCCTGTTTCCTCTGTCTGCAGCCTTTTTGGAGAGAGAGCCAATGACTCACTTTCCCCTCCTCAATCTTGTGGCAGGATATGCCTGTTCCTTTGTGTCTCTGTATGCTGACTGTACACTCACAGATTAAAGAGGGTAAAAAATGGGTACAAATCGCAGCTGAAGCCTGGATTTCACCTACCCTATCTGGTTTTCTTTTCACATCAAATTAGCAACCAGACCAAGGTTGGAATTTCTCTCGCCAGTTCTTGCTGCATGCTTTCTAGTTAAGTTACTCAGTGCATCCTTTGGTGTTCTTTTTGTAAAGTGGGTATGATGGTATCAGGAAATTTCAATAAAATAGGTATGAAGATAGTACCTACTACAGCACCAGCTCATATGAGGGACTGCAGTCAAGGGTAGCTGTACTTAGCAGGTAATCATATCTCCTTCTTCCAGTTTGGTACTGTGGCCTTCTGAAAGTGAGGCCTGTTGTACTTTTAGGGCTTTGTTTCTCCAGTTGTTGGGTCATCTCTCTGGATGAGACAGTGTATCTTAGATGCCTTCAGTTCCTTCCTTTCATTTCAGTATCTTCTTTTTTGACCTGCTGGGATAGTTTCTTGGTGGCAAAAGCCAAAAGAAGTCCAGAGCCAGTGGACTTTTCTTTTTCTTTTTTTTTTTTTTTTAATTTATTTGACAGGTAGAGTTATAGACGGTGAGAGAGAGAGAGACAGAGAGAAAGGTCTTCTTCCTTCC